ATTTTGTCAAAACTTGATTTTTCTTGACGGTCAGCACTTCAGTTTGGCTTAAAAAAAAACACGTTAAAAATACCGGAATACCGGTATTTACCGGTATTCTGATGGCGGTATATCGGTATTCGGTATTTGCGATATCGATCCAGCCTAATTAGTGGCCTCCAGTTTGACAACTTTTGAATTTATCGGTCTCTTAATATAATTAATATAGGTCACACTTTTCTACGCACTTGTAGCAGCCTTTAGGGCCCTGATCCCTGTTTGTTGAACGGCACCGCTTTGACGATAAACTTTCCTCCAGTATAAATACAGAACTAAATAATTTCAAATAAATCACAATAATAAAATGTATCCGAAATCCGTAATCGGTACCGGCATTTTCCACCAAGTGTTTAGTTCCGCGTGTTTTACATAACACGTGCTTAATTTTTGCTGTAGGTGTTATATTTCACTCTCAGCGTAGTAATTTCATACACAGTCAAATTTCGTGTGCAAAAAGAAATGGCGCTGTCTAAAACCTTCCTGTGCACCCTTGTTCTAATCACTGTGGTTGTACAACAGATAGAATCAAGAAAATGCTATTATCTTTCAAATTTGTCTTTGAAATGCCAGAAGTATTGCTGCGGGAAAGGTCCTTTTAATTACCAGTGCAAAGACGACTGTGAAGGCATCGCATGCGACAGTGATGACGACTGTGGAAGTGGCTGTTGCCGAGATTATCAATGTGGAGATTGTCCGTTATCCATAACCATCATAGCAATTATCGTAGGATGTGCCGTGGTTTTCCTTATAATTATCATTGTCGCTGCTATATGTTGTTGCCAAAGTCAAAGTCAACCAAGGCAGGTCGTAGTTGGACGCTGGGCTGAACTACACAACGCAAATAATCTGAGAGTGGCCAACCCTGCAGTTAACGTGGTTCACACTAGCTCTAATGTCTACATGCAACACTGAATGCTTAGAAGAAACTGTGGGACTTTTAGCTGATGTTTTTTTACCATTAATTTGATCAGATTTAATTGCTATACTACAATTATATTTTTCATATATACGTAAATGAAACTAATGAATGTACAAACAGATGGATTTTTATTACTGATAATGGATCAGATGGATTTTGTAGATTCTAGGTTGTTTAGATCAAGCTATAGCCTGTGTAGAACTCAGAAACGGACTAGTTTTCGCTTTCAGTATGAGAGGTCCATCATGGCAGAAATCTAAGAAATCGTGTTAGAACTTTAATTCAACTAGAAATCATAGCCTCGTACCAGGCGCTAATAAGGAAAATCGCGCTAAGCATGAAGCACTTCAGTGTGAAAAGTGTCATATGAGCATAGTCACTACGAGCTGAGCCAGCGGTTAAGCTCGAAAGTTTGTTGTAAACCATATTTTTTAGTTATTGAAATTTACCTACTGTATCTTATACTTCATATAATCTTAAAATCGGTGTTGAAATCAGCAAAAATAACGAAATCAGCTCAAAGTTAATCACTTACGTGCGACTCGTTGCATGGACAGCAATATGACGTATATAAATAATATCTACATATTATTTACATACTGTACGTCATATCGCTATCGGCGTGCGATGAGTCGCGCGTAAGTGATTATCTTTAATCCTGTCTTTAATAAGCTACAATTCGCTAATTTCAGATGTTTTGACTTTCTTTGACAATTTTTACTGCAATATTTATGTACAGTACCGATCATGGGAAAGTTAATTAACCATCCCGTATATCCCGTCCCACAGAACGATAATCCCTTCCCGCGGGACGAGAAATTTGTCCCTCGAGACGAGAAATTAGTCCCTCGAGACGGAAATCCCGTCAATTTCGCATAAATAAATACATTTTCGTTTAGTTTAGTCTACGACATTTTCTTTTAGTCAGTTTTCTTTTAGACATTTTTCTGTTTAGTCTAGACGGTTTTTGTGATTTAGCGAAAAACATAGACAACATCGTTGACGTTGTAACGAATTAAAATGCAACTGATTTTCAAACGTCGTGTTATGGCCGCGCTATATATAATATATGGATTTATATGGATTATAGACTACTGTATATATATAGGGGTATAGACTACAGAATCGAAGTACAGATGAATTCGATTGATTGTTGAATTTAGTTCGCGGCATTGCAACGGAACAAGATCGAGTGATTTTTTGGAATGAATCGACACGCAATACGCCAATAGCGATTTGTCACAAATTTTTTTCGTTTGCATGGCAGGGGCCGGTTGTATAAAAACGTAATTAGCGCTAAGTAACTGTAGTTAGCGCTAATCACTGTAGTTAAAACTGTAATTAGTTAACTAAGCAGTGACTAACGACCGCTGACATGCATTTTTAACATGATTGTGGACTCGTATTTTAAAAATAGGCGGGAATTTTAATTCAAAAGCCAGTGTGACCAGATTTGGTAAAAAGTTTTACTTTCGGTAAAATTTCGTGAATTTTCAAGAAAATTTAAGTTTTAATTATTAATATTCATTTTGGTAAAACTGTGTGTTTCTTGTTTAATAACGTGCTCAAAGTGATGAGCAGAACAGCCAATCCTAAGAAATAAAGCTTTATCATTAGCAAAAGCTGTGATACGATGAAAGCAACAAGTATTTCGAGATACCTTTTTGGGCATATTTTTTCTACTGTTTGATGACGTAACTATTGGGTTTTTTTTTTCATTATTACGATGTAATTATTTGGGAAGCCGACATTTGGTAAAATATTTCTTAATTTAGTAAAATGTGAAACAAAGAACTTAGCTCATTAACATTAGGTTCGGCGACGGCACATGAAAAGTTGACGGTTGACTTGGTTTGTAGTCTTCTTCCTTCAATTTTATTATCCGCTCTTGCACACCTTCAAGTTCAACTTACATATAAAGAAATTTCTACATATATTATTATATCCCAAACGACGC